TTTTCAAAAAGCAAATGCATGAATGCACTATGCTTTAAAACACATTTAAAAGTAACTCTCTCCTAAAGCTGTTTTTGGAAACATTCCGAAGATGCTGGAACTTAACACTCGATATCTCTGAAACACAAAGGTTTCCCACCCCCGCCCCCCCCACTTGACTCCCTTCTCTCCAGAAGGGGGTGACACTCATTTGAGAAGAGCTCAGTGGATGCTGACAGTCTCAACTTCAGTGCCCTTTCTTTACAGGGAATGAGAGAAGGATTTTACAAGGTACAGAAAAGGCCTCAATTCCAGACTCACGCACCCTATTCTGCAGGGAGCTGAGTTGCAATCAGAAGGACCTTCTGGGGGCAGGGGGAGAAGCCATTGACTGTACATTCTGATAATAGCTCGACAACAGCTGTCCAGGCTTAAATCAGCTGTGCACAATATTTGGAAACAAATGTGGGACCTTTCCACTTTGCAGGTCCACATTCAACTTCCACTTGAAACTGCTGACTTATGCTGAACTGCCTTTTGGAAGCTGTATGAACCTTAAGAGGTGCTCCTATGATTCAGTGGGCTATGTCAACCTTAGCTCCAAGCCAGAAGCTCAAGTTCCACTCCAGGACTTGAAAGGCACAAAATATTTGTTCAAAATATGGCCAAATGGGTTGTGTATCCACCTGAAAATCCTGCCAACACAGGCTAATGCCAGGTGGGTGAGAGCAGGAGTGTGTCATGGTCAGCCAAGTGACACAAAAAGTGGAGCCTCTGCCATCGCTATTCCAGAGCTCCAGGCTGCAATGTGCAGAGCCAGTTGTGGATCAGGTTGGTGCCAACAGTACAGGGGTTTGATCCTGTTCTGGCTGGAGTGGATCACAGACTTCAACCCTACCTGTGATGGAGATCATGGCACCATGGATCAGATCTACCTTCAGTCAGAAAACTGAAGAAGGAGCCTCAATAAAAGTGCTTTAAAAAAAGTTTTTTAAACTTCTAAAGACAGAGAGGGTTTAAGCAGCTCTAGCAAGAGTCTAAAAGGATTTACCATGACCGAGGGAAAACTATTTGTCTTAGGCTGTTTTATTTCCCTGTTAACTCAATTTCACTAAAGTAAGCAAGCAGGAAGCAAAATAGTTTCAGCTGAACTAACTAGATTTGGGAATCTGAATTCATGTAGAAGATAAAGGAAGATTTGCATCTATAGAACAACTTTCATAACCACCAGACATCTCTAAAGCACTTTATACCCAATTAAATACTTTTTGCAGTGGAGTCCCTGTTGCAATGAGAGAAACAAGGCAATTTGCATACAGATTTTTCTTGGTGACCCTGTTGCAAATATCTATTTGCACAATTCATGTGATTTAGAGAGAACTTTTAGTTTTAACAACTTTTACTCAATTCTGAGGAAGGGTCACAGGAGCTGAAACCTTAACTGCTTTCTCTTCACAGATGCTGCCAGACCTGTGGAGTTTTTCCCAATAATTTCTACTCTTTTTAATAACTTTTACATTGGATATTAATATGTTACGTGGAAGATAAAATGATATTAAGAACCTAGTAAACAACCCTAAAGTGAAAGCAAATCAAACAAGCTTGGGATAATTATTGTTAAAAGGTTATTGGTGTTCATCTTACAAGGTCACATTGCTGTGAGAAAACTTACATAATGGAATGACCCATCTTTGAACCTCTTGGTAGAACCAAAGGGTCTGGAAAAGAGGACATTTATATCTCTAATGGATATAATTGAATCATGTCATTTAGCAAAAGCAGCAATGGTGACATAAGGAAAATCTTTTCCCACACAGCAAGTGGTTAGGATCTGGAAAGTATAACCTGAGATTGTGGTGGAGGCAGATTCAAATAGATGCTTTCAAGAGGAAATGCAATTGTTCTTTAAAAAGGAAGGACTATGGGGAGAAGCCAGGAGTGTCATTAGGTGATCTAGTCATTTGGAAAGCCAACAATGGGCTAAATGGCCTAGAATGATAGAAGCCCTACAGTGTGGAAACAAGCCGTTCAGCCCAAGTCCACACTGACCCTCAGAGCATCCCACCCAGACCCATCCCCCCATAACCCACCTAATCTCCACATCCCTGAATGCTAGGGGCAATTTAGCATGGCCAATCCACCTAGCCTGCACATCTTTGGACTGTGGGAGGAAACCAGAGCACCCAGAGGAAACCCACGCAGATACAGGGAGAACGTGCAAACTCCACATAGACAGTCACCTGAGGGCGGAATTGAACCCAGGTCTCTGGTGCTGTGAGGCAGCAGTGCTCACCACTGAGCTGCCCCAGGCCTCTTTCTGCCCTGTAACAATTCTCCAATCCTGTGTACAATTTGATAATGGTTACACAGTCTGACTTTGTGATGTTGATCAAGGGATAAACATTGGTCAGGGTACTGGGGAGAATTACCCCACTGTTCTTCAAATAGATCTAGATCATTGCTGATGGGTGGAGGGCAGATGGACTTTGTTTAAAAGGTAACAGCTGACAGTGCAGCACTCCTAGTCTGGTGCACTGATCAAATCAAATACTGATATGCACTTGTCAAACATTCAGACCAAAAGGGCAGTTCAATGTATTAAAGGACAGTCTCTGAAAACAAACTTGAAGTCAATTTCTCTGTGGTTTAATAATTCTGAAATGGACTAATTTTATAATGTGTGATTTGACATCATTGGTCTGATGATTGACAGTTAATGATAATCATTCAGACAGCTCAATCTGAATTGAGGATTTTCATTGCCTCTCAGTTTTGCGCAAAACTGCTGTCTTGAAGAGGAAAGTACCGCATAGAGCGTGTTTTCTCAGAGTCAAATCACATTTCATAGAGTCCTGAAAGAAATGCTGCCTTTATAAAATACCAGATAAAGAAACAACTCCTAAAATGAACTGATGTAACAACTTGCATTTATATAATGTATTAAGTTTTGTTTTATTCATTCAGGGGAGTAGAAAACATCCCAAGGTTACAGTAAAAGAGAATGTTATTGAGGACTTTGATTGGGTCCTTTCAATGCTATAGCAGAAACAGTGCCAAGTTCAGCTGACCATGGCACTAACTGTCAGAAGGCTAAGTGGGCATTGTGTTCTCTTAGAGGTGCCATCCATGATGCTTCAGACATGACTCCCTGCTCGGATTTTCCACCACCTCTACAGGAACACATTGCCTGTTGCCTCCTAACTGAGCATTTCTTGGATTGTGGATTGAACAGAATGAGAAATAAATAGGGTGTGATATATACAGGCTGCAGAAAGAACAAACTGGATTGGTCACTGGTCCACGTTTCCATATGTTGTGCCTCCTGTGGTTCCAACAAATGGCAGTTGACTGCATCACCAACACAATCTACATTCATATAGCACCTCTGGTGTAGAGAGAGATACCCTAAAACACTTTGCAGAAGCATGACCAGACACAATTAATTGTGGGGTGGGGGTGGGGAAGACAGACAGATTCCAATTGTTATCAGAAAATGTCAAATGTGTGAATGCATTTGTGTGGACCAAACCACTTCAGTGTATCTAAGCAGAGTTGTTTAAACAGGGTGGCAAGCACCTTTATTTTAACAGAAAGGGCAGCTTTGGAAAGTAAGGGTTTAACTTGTAAGTTCCTGTAGGCAATAACAAAAATTAAAAGTCACAAAGTCCACCTGATCCATGATGAAAATATTTGCCTGCCCTATCAGCAAGTGTTCACTTAAACAAGACAAACCTCCAACTCACTGGTCGCACTCAATTAATATTTAAAAGGAAATACTGATATTCTCAGAAAAGTTAAAACATACAAGGCACGAATAAACAGAAGAAATGTTCTTGTAATGCCAGATGATTTGCATCTTTCTAGTTCGCACCTCCGGTGCAGTGATCTATTTGGAAGTCAAGTACACAACTGATTTGGAAAAAGAGAGACAAGTATCTAACGAACTGCAGGTGCTTTTATCATTTTTTAAAAAATACAACTTTGTAACTCTGACTTCAATTCCTGATGCACAGGTCTCCCAAGAGCTAGAAAAGACAGGCCAGGATTCACTGAGCACTTCTTGGTGAATTCACTTTGTCAGTGTCATAAGCACAGCGTTTGAAACAGTCTAAAACTGACACGAGGATCCAAGTTGCTCTCTGACACTGGCGTTCAGTGCAGTGTCATGGTCCCCCGTGCACCAGGGACTCTGGCAGAGGAAGAATTCAGAAAGAGACAGATTTCGGGCAAAGTGAGATGGGGAAAGTGGCATCGAGACGACATTCTCTGACCTACAGAAGCGCCTGGAGACTCCTGCTAGGATGAAACAGACTCGACAACATCATGAAATGGCTTTAAATGAGAACAAGGCTGAATGCTTCTGGAAAGAGCCACTTCGCAGTTCAGTTTAATTCTCTACACACGTCAGGGGGATTAAAAGCTAAAACAATTCAACATTACTTGTGGCCCAATGCGGTCAAACTTATAGCCTATCACATGCGACCTCTCAAACCCGACCCTCAACTGTACCCCAAATTGGAGAAAGGCTTTAGGGAAAAGTCCGTGTGAATTCTGAAGGTTCCCCGAAGTTGGTGCTCACTTCACGTTCACATGAGCTCGAACTAACTGCCCATGAACCTGATCCTTACAACCTGTTAACAAACTGACCAGTCAGGATACAGAAAACTGCAGCCAACCTGAGACAGGCGCTCCCACACACCAGCCTCAGTTTATCGTTAGGTGATTGCGCAAAAACCTTAAGCAAACAGGTTTTTATAACTCCCAGTTTCCGTCTCCGAATAAAAGACTCGTCATTAGACTTTTCCCCCCACTTTTACAAAAAGTTACTTTTTAAATTACCCGTATAAAAGTAACGCACCAAGTTAGTTTCATCAAGTTTTAGAGCACTGTT